CCAGTGCCACACTCCTGTCCCAGCCCTGCCCTGCTCTTCCCAGATCCCCGGGGGCCCCGGGAAGGGGCTCAGCTCCCCGGGAGGCTCCCGAGCTCCTGGGCACAAAGGGCAGTGCCCGGTTCCACCCAGTTCCCCCCTCCGGCCGGGCCCTTCCCAAGGGCTTTTCCCTCCTGGCTCCCATCCCAGTGGCTCCGTGTCCCAGCTGGAGGAGCTGCCAGTGCTGGGTTGGGAAGAGGGGCCCGTTTGCTGACACTGGTTTGCTCTTGTCCTGCTTTCAACGCCAATAAAACCCTTGGTTGCATCAGCTGGGCCTTCTCGTGTCTCCTTTCCCGTGGAGGGCAGGGAAAACAAGCCCCAGCAGGGGTTTGGGAGAAGATCAGCCTTGGGAAAACCCCTAAGACAGGACCCTGGTTGGGCAGGGACCCTCTTTGTCCTCCTGCAAGTTTCTGGTGGGAATTGCCTTTGCTTGGTTCTTTTTCTGGTGTGGATTCTCCCAGCCCGTCGTTTTTATGGGATTTCTCTCCATTTGATGCAATTTAACAGGTTTGGGAGCCAGCCCAGGGCAATCCCTTGTGTTTGGGAAGTGGTTGCCCCGCTCCTGGATGTCAGGATATTGCTTCCAGCTTGACCAGTTTTCCCGTGGACAATCCCAGGAGGATTTTGGGCAGAAATCATTCCCTGTGAGGGTGGGGAGGCCCCAGCACGGAACTGTGGATTCCACACCCTTGGAAATATCCAAGGCCAGGCTTGGAGCATCCTGGGCTGGCAGAAGGTGCCCTTGCCCAAGGTCTGGATGATCTTTAAGGCTCTTCCAAGCCCGAGCATCCCACGATTCCCTGCTCCAGGTGCCTCCCCGGCGCCGGGGCACACCCTGACTAAGCAGAGAGAAGGTCCCACAGCTCCTTGAAGGTCCCACAGCAAACCCTCACCCTGTAATTAAAACCACCCCAGTCCTCGCTCCCCGCTCCCAGCCCCGATTAAGATCTGCAGCGTCCCCGGTTATTCCCGGGATTGGGATCTTGGTGCTTTCCCGTCTTTCCCCCCCGAGGAGGCTCTGGAGGGTCTGGGAGCCTCTTCCCTGCACGTCTCCACCTGGATCCTCCCCCCGTCATCCCATTCCCAACTCCTCCTTCTCCCCGTCCCGCTCCCTTTATATCCCGACCTCGGGAGCTGCGTCTCCTCCCCGGATCCGCTCCCGGCAGGAAAAATGCAGGTGGAATCCTTCCCTCGGCAGGCGAGACCCCACCAGACCTCCGGCCCAGGTAAGGGAACCCTCCCTCGGCTCCTCTTACCAAAATTTTAGGGATTTTTGGTGGTTCCCTGCCTTGAAAAAAAAAGCCTCTTAAATCCTTTCGGGGTTGGAACTTCGGGGGTTTGTTCCTCTGACCCCCAGAAATGAAACACAGGGATGAATTTGGGGTGCAGGAAAGGGGTTTTTTTTGTCCCCATCTCCTAAATAAAACCCCACGGAATGTTCAGGTAGGTGGATGATGAAAGCTTTCTAAGAGGATTATTTCATTTATTCACCTGCAATTTGTACTTTTTGGCCGCGGTGTCGGGCACGCCCCGGCGGGGCTGAGCTCAGAGAGTGAATTTGAGGTCTTTAAATTTAAATCCTGCCTTTGCCGGGGCTGGTTGGTTTGTTTTTTTGTTTTTTTTTGCAGGAGAAACCCCAGGAGAGGAGGGAGAAGGGGGTGGTTTCCCGGTCTCTCGCGTGGCAGCAGGGACAGGGTGATAAATAAACCAGAAATAAAGCAGGAATAAATCAGAATCCGAGCAGCAAAGACTGATTTTGTGTTTTATCCCAAAGTTTCCCTCTTTTTCCTCCTCCTCTCCACCATAAAAAGGCTCCTTTGGGTGGCGATTGGGGGTTATTTTCCTAAAACCTCTCGTTAAACTGCGTTAAACCCGATTTTCTCGGCGCTTTTCCGAGTCTTTTTTGGGAGAGCGGGGCCGGTTTGGACAACAGGGAATCCCGGGAGGGAATTCCAGGAGCTGGAGGGTGAGGAGGGAGCTGATGCCTCCAGCACCGAATTTTGGGGTGAAAACAGGGGCTTTCTTGGCATTAATCCCCCCAAAGAGGGGTGGGAGGAGCCAAGGGCAGAGTCGGGATCCCGGGAAAAATCCCTCGGGGATGGGAAAGCAGAGGGATGGAAATTCCTCACCTGGAATTTCCCGGCGGCGTTTTTGGCTCCCCAAACCTTCGCCTCGGACGTTCCCGCGGGTCGTGGGATCATCCGGTCCCTCCGACAGCGGGAAAAATGGGGGAAAAAAAGGGATTAAAGGAACTTTTTGATGGATTTTCTGTTTGATTCCCCTTTTTCCCTCGGCAGGAGAGTGCGGGGAGTGCGGTCCCGGCTACGCCTCCCCCCTGGATGCCATGAAAGGTGAGTGTGGAATTCTGCCCCGGGCGGGAATTAGGGGGGGAGGATCAATCCCATCCTTCTCCCGGGAGGCTCCCAAACAAGTCCGGGAAGCGCGAACTCCAATTAACTAATGACAGTTTGAACTCCGATTAACTAATGACAGTTTGGCGTCGGGACAAACCTTTGTGGGGTTTTTAATGGGCTTTGCCCCGCGGCAAAGTCACCTCTGCCTTCCCTGCGCTTCCCTGTCCCTCCCTTAATCCCCTTCTCCAGGGAAACGCATCCCTGGAATGCTGGGGAGCTCGGGAACACCCCTGGATCCCTGATCCCGATCCTGAAAAACCTCTGAACCGGGAAAACGACGGGGAGATGAGTCCCTGGGACACTCAGGGTGCCTTAAGGGAGCAGCAAACAGCACAAATCCCATGGGATCCAGAGTTCCCTCGGGAATTATCCCGGGGTTTTGGGGGTGCTGGGTGACTCTGGCACCCAAAAAACCTCCTCCTGGCAGGTTTGGCTCCCGGGAGAAGCTCCTGGGTGGCCTTTGGGGGGCTCAGACCCCGATTTTGGGGCGGCTGCAGGGACTGGGATCGGGACAGGGATTGGGACTGGGATTGGGATCAGGATCCACTGGCCTCGGGCAGTTCTCCCAAATCCAAGGCTGACTCTGTGGGAGGTTTTCCTGGAATGTTGCAAAGGCAGCTCTGACCTGGCCTGGTCCCAATCCAGAGATCCCAAATCTCCTCCCTGGCAGCTCTGACCCGACCTGGCCCCAATCCCAAGATCCCAAATCTCCTCCCTGGCATCTTTGACCCGACCTGGCCCCAATCCCAAGATCCCAAATCTCCTCCCTGGCATCTTTGACCCAACCTGGCCCCAATCCCAAGATCCCAAATCTCCTCCCTGGTGCCATTTCCCATCACAGGTTCTTCCTCAGCACTTCCTAAACCAGCTTTTCCCCCTCCCAGGCCGGGCTTGGGCAATCCTGCTCCCACCTCTGCAGGGACCAGGAGGCTCCAGGGATTTGGGGGCTCCTGCCTTTGATTCAGGGGTTTAGGGGGTCTCTCTGCCTTTTATTCCAAGGATTTGGGGGGTCCTGCCTTTGACTTGGGGGTTCTTTGGCTTCATTCCAGGGATCTGGGGGCTCCTGCCTTTGCTCCAAGGAGTCCTGACGTGTTTTTTGGGGCTCCTCCCATGATGGGGTTTGAGCCCTGATAGGATTTGACCCCATTCCTGACCCTTTTGGGGCGGTTCTGGTGTGTCCCCACAGCCCTGGAATACTCAAACTTGAGGATCCTTGAGGTTTTTTCCCAACCTGGACGATCCCATCCCAAATCCATGGGGACTCTGAGGTGCAGAGATCCCTCCCCAACCCCAGGGACCCCCAGGGAGAGGGGGATCCCACCACCCCACGTGGGGTAGGAGGGAGATTTCGGCTCCCAGAGGCTCCAGGAGGGTTTTTTTGGGGTCCCAAATGGGTTTTCCCGGCGTTTTCCTGACATTCCCACTTTTCCAGGCCCTCGGGAAGAGATCATCTACGTGCCCTGCATCTACAGGAACACGGGACGGGGCCGACCCGACTTCCTGGCCACTGTGGACGTGGATCCCAAATCCCCCACCTACAGCCAGGTAAAAAAACACCTGGATTTGGGATCGGGCATGGGATTTCATGGGAATCACGGAATTCTGGGGTGGTTTGGGGCGGATTTTATGGCAATCACAGAATCCTAGGGCAGTTTTGGGTGGATTTCACGGGAATCACAGAATCCCGGGGTGGTTTGAGGCAGATTTCACAGGAATTACGGGGTAGTTTCGGGCTGGGATTTCATGGAATCACAGAATCCTGGGGTGGTTTGGGGCTGGGATTTCACAGGAATCATGGAATCTTGGGGTGGTTTTGGGTGGATTTCATGGGAATCACAGAATCCTGGGGTAGTTCGGGACGGATTTCATGGGAATCCTGGGGTGATTTGGGGCTGGGATTTCACAGGAATTCTGGGGTGGTTTAGGACGGATTTCACAGAAATCCCAGAATCCCGGGGTGGTTTAGGACAGAGAAAAGACCCCAAATCCCCCCCAGCCCTCAGGCAGGGACCCTTCCCGGTATCCCAACCCCCCTCCCACCTCTTTTGTCCCCCTTTTCCAGGTGATCCACCGGCTGCCCATGCCCAACGTGGGGGATGAGCTGCACCACTCGGGCTGGAACGTTTGCAGCAGCTGCTTCAGGGACCGGGGCAAGAGGAGGAACCGCCTGGTGCTGCCCTCCCTCATCTCCTCCAGGATCTACGTGGTGGACACGGGCACAGACCCCCGGGCACCCCGGCTCTTCAAGGTGCCCAGGGGGGTGGGATTGGGATTTTGGGCGGATTGGGGGGGTCTGGGATTGGGAAAGGGGGGTTTGGGGCTGTCCGAGGGCGTCGTGGGATGTGGCCTGAGCAGGGCCAGGCGCTGCTTGTTTAGGGTATGGGTATATCCTAAATCCCAAATCCCACATCCCAAATCCCTCATCCTACATCCCACACCCCAGCAGGGCCAGGTGCTGCTTGTTTAGGACACAGGTATATCCCAAATCCCACATCCCAGACCCCAGATCCCAGTAGGGTCATCCACCGTTTCCTCAGGACACAGGCAGATCATCCTACATCCCAAATCCCACATCCCAAATGCTACATCCCAAATCCCAGCAGGGCCATCCACCTCTTCTTTAGGGCACAGGTATATCCCAAATCCCTCATCTCACATCCCAAATCCCTCGTCCCACATCCCAAATCCCAGCAGGGCCATCCATCTCTTCCTCAGGACACAGGCACATCATCCTACATCCCAAATCCCTCACCCTACATCCCAAATCCCAAACCAGCCTTGGGGTGTCCCCCCCTCCCTCCCCAGGTGGTGAACCCCGAGGAAGTGTTCTGGAAGTGTGGCCTGGGGTACCCCCACACCTCCCACTGCCTGGGCAGCGGCGAGATCATGATCAGCACCCTGGGGGACCCCGCTGGCAACGGGAAAGGTACCCCAGGAACCCCCCAGGAGGGAGCTGGGAGGGCAGGGACAGACCCCACACCCGGGGGTGGATCCATCTGGGCTGTCCCTGCTCGGGTTACAACCCCAAATTAGTGGTAATTGGGGTCAATCTCTGGGTTTAGAGAGTTTGGGACTGTGGGAAACTGGGTTTGGGAGCTTGGGAGGGTGGGAAACTGGGTTTGGGGCATCTGGGATTGTGGGAAACTGGGTTTGGGGGGTCTGGGGTGTGGGAAACTGGGTTTGGGGGCACCAGGATTGTGGGAAACTGGGTTTGGGAGGTCCTGGATCATGAGAAACTGGGTTTGGGGGGTCTGGGATTGTGGGAAACTGGGTTTGGGGGCTCAGGGGGTGGGAAACTGGGTTTGGGGGGTCCAGGATCATGGGAAACTGGTTTTGGGGGGTCCTGGGGTGTGGGAAACTGGGTTTGGGGGGTCTGGGGTTTTGGGAAACTGGGTTTGGGGGCTCAGGAGGTGGGAACCCGGGTTTAGGGGCACCAGGATCATGAGAAATCAGTGTTAATTGGGGTTAATCCCTCACTGCCCCAGGTGGGTTCATCCTGCTGGATATGGAGACCCTTCAAGGTCAAGGGGAACTGGGAGAGGGGGGACAAGAACTGGGGTGACAGGGACAGACCCCACACCCGGGGGTGGCCAGGGGGGGGCTGTCCCTGGTCGGTTCACAACCCCAATTAGCGTTAATTAACCCAGGTGGGTTCATCCTGCTGGACGCGGAGACCTTCGAGGTCAAGGGGAACTGGGAGAGGGGGGACGAGACCCCCCCCATGGGCTACGACTTCTGGTACCAACCGCGGCACAACGTCCTCATCAGCACCGAGTGGGGGGTCCCCAAGTGCCTGGGCTACGGCTTCGACCCCCGGGACCTCAAAAAAGGTGAGGGGGCCACCCCAAATCCCCCAAATCCCCCAAATCCCCCCCCTCCCGGGAGAGCCGGATTTGCGCCGCCGGGATTCGGGAATTCCCCCCCGGGGCTGAGCTGTTTCCCGCTGACGGAATTCCCGATCCCACCGATCCCAGGGCGTTACGGGCGCCGGCTGAACGTGTGGGATTGGAGCTCCCACCGGTACGTCCAGGCCATCGACGTGGGGGAGGATTCGGCGCCGCTGGAGATCCGGTTCCTGCACGACCCCGACGCCGCCGAGGGCTTCGTGGGCTGCACCCTGAGCAGTGCCATCCACCGCTTCTTTAAAACACAGGTGCATCCCAAATCTGAAATCCCACACCTCAAATCCCACACCCCAAATCCCAGCAGGGCCATCCACCGCTTCTTTAAAACACAGGTGCATCCCAAATCCCAAATCCCACACCCCAAATCCCAGCAGGGCCATCCACCGCTTCTTCAAGACAGAGGTGCATCCTAAATCCCAAATCCCGCACCTCAAATCCCACACCCCAAATCCCAACAGTGCCATCCACCGCTTCTTTAAAACACAGGTGCATCCTAAATCCCAAATCCCACACCCCAAATCCCAAATCCCACACCCCAAATCCCAGCAGGGCCATC